CAAAGAACACGGGATTTGGGGGACTATCTAGGCGTCGTTGTCTAGCTATTTGAAATTCCGCAGCTTGGAGAGCCTCCAAGGGAGGGAAAAGTGAAAATTCCATAGCTTGGGAAGCTGTCACGGCGGGGAAAAGTGAAAATTCCCTAGCTTGGGAAGCCCCCACGGGGGGGAAAAGTGAAAATTCCCTAGCTTGGGGAGCCCCCACGGGGGGAAAAGTGAAAATTCCCTAGCTTGGGGAGCCCCCACGGGGGGGAAAAGTGAAAATTCCCTAGCTTGGGGAGCCCCCACGGGGCCCCACGGGGGGGAAAAGTGAAAATTCCCTAGCTTGGGGAGCCCCCACGGGGGGGAAAAGTGAAAATTCCCTAGCTTGGGGAGCCCCCACGGGGGGGGAAAGTTAAAATTCTTAGCTTGGGGAGCCCCCACGGGAAAACCACCCTTAGCCCCTCTCACGGACCGAAATAAACCTGCGGTGTGGGCGGCCACCCCACGCGAAGCGGGGTGAATAATAATTTCATATTAGGATCCTGGAAGAAAATCATGCAACATGGTGCACGCACGCACGCACCAATGCTGGTGGACCATTTTTTCAGATTGCTGCGAGCACTCATGGTCTAATCCAGCATTTCTGCGGGCTGGCAGGGAGGTGCTTGTTGGAGCCTTGTGATTGTGTGCAAAGCACCTTCTATCCACCAGCTAGCTAATGCGAATCCTACTGTCACGAAACCCCATGAAAAGCACAGCTTGCATTCAGAAACATTGATCATATATGTTCAGGGAAAAAGTAAGCAACGTATAACTTTTATAAAACATATATGGTTGCTGACATGCCAAGCTGTGCAAATTGGCACAGTCCATCCTGTGCCCCCCATTGGTCACATTCACCTTCAGCTCTCAGTAGATGGGTTACCAGAGAGAGTGTCCAAGGCAATGACCCCATGGTACTTCAAAACCTCGATTTCCTGCCCTACGCCAGGATCCTTGGCCACATCGATGGACGAATCGGCATCAAACATGGCATCGCCCTGGTAAGCCTCGGCAACGAAGGCCAGGGAAGATTGACAGAGTAGTTGCTTGATAGAATGGGTCTCTCATGTTGTTACCCCAAACCCAGAATAAGATAATCAGACATAAAATGTTGAATCAGTTCACCAGGTAACCAGGAGTTCAGCGCAACGGACTGCCACCACCAAAGAGAGAATCACCGGGTAAGTGTCTGGGAATTTGAAGTATGCAAAATCCTTTGACTTGGTAGAATCTTTCTGGAACTCTTTAAGGACTTTGACACCACATGCTGGGCGGCTCCAGTAGATATTCAACTTGCAGCACCATGAGTTGCCCAACAAGAACTTAACCTTGTGTTTTGTTTCATCCAACGAAGCCTGTTGATCAAACTGGCTGGCAAATTCCAGAATTGAATCCAGGGTATCTTGGTTGAACAAGTCAGCACGTGCCTCCAGCGCTGGCTGTGGCTGTGACCTGGTTTCGCGCCGGCGACGCTTGGGTGCTGCGGCTTCCGATGCCTCAACCTTTGCCTTTGGTGCAGCCTTTGCCTTTGGCACACGAACCTTTGCCTTTTTCTCCACCTCACCATTTCCCTTTGCCTGTGCCTTTGCCTTTGCCTTACCTTTGGGCTTTGGTTTTGGCGAAGGGGTTCCACGCGGTTCAGCTGTGGCCTTCTTTGGTGCCCTCTTTTTGACTGGTGCTGTGTCATCACCATCATCACCTGTCTTACATTGTTTTTTCGGGGATGCTTTCAACACAGCAAGTCGATGACCAGCTTTGCTGCGGCGTTTGGTGCTTTTCCCCTTGACCTTTTTCTTACCCTTTCCACCTTTGGTCTTCTGACCCCTAGTGGCCTTCTTGCCTTGCCTTCCTCGCATTTGATCTTCCCTCAAAAGGACCTGTTCCTCCTCTCCTTCTGCCTCCTCTCCTTCTGCCTCCTCTCCTTCTGCCTGGGTCCCGCCCAGATCATGATGATCTTGATCAGAATGATCAGGGGCTGCAAGAAGCTCTTCCTGCGAACCCATGGCCAATGTTAGCAAGAATGATTAGTACGTTGACCATTGCATGGTTCTTGACACTGGAGTATATGAATAATAATCAAATCAATCACCATTACATATTAGATGAACAAACTTGGAAGTTCCCTACCAGTCCTGTTCCTCACCCATACCCATATCAGCTGGCGTCTCCGGCGCCGGTGTCTCAAGCGTGGCAGCTGGCTCTTCGCTTGGAGGCACTGGCGCTTCCGGGATGGAATCATCAGCTTGATCTGGCGAACTTTGAGCAGATTTCGGAAGCCTGCCTCTAGCATACATCAAACGTTTGACACTCGTGGGTGTATCTGAAAAACTTCCCCTTGAAGGAGTCAAAGGAGGGGGTGCTAGTTGCATCACATCCATGGGTAGAGTCTCTGATGTCTCCATTCCATAAGGGAGGGTCGGCAGGATCTCGTATGAACCTTCAGGGAGACCATAGGCCACCATGATATGAACTATAGTGGCATTCAAAGTGTTCGTGGGTGGGGATCGTGATGATGAAAAAATATGATTGACTTGATGATGTTGGCGGTGATGATGATTTGCATCATCATCATCATCAACAACATCATCATGAACATTAACATAAAGAAGGGTAAAGATGAATATGCCGTTCAAGTGTACAAAGAAGGTATGCTCACGATGGTGAATATGAAGGTGATGAAGGGTAACGATGTAGTAGATACAATGAAGGATAATCTATTCTCATCATGCTCAATCGTATCAATGATAGAACATAAAAACAGCCAGGCCTGGCTGAGTTGATGCACAGGCCGGGGCTGCAGTTGGAGGTTCCACTGTAGGTTCTCTATGCAATGCAGCCTTCTCCTGCCGCAACCTCATTTGAATATAGAAACCAATCAGAATCATGCATAGGTTTCCACTTTCTGACATCACATGATGATATGATCACTGATACATAGGATAAGCTGAGGGTACTACTGTAGAAGTCGTTGTTGCACCTCTTCCCTTCGGCTCTCCAAACTGGATCTCAAAGCACCCTTCTTGGCGTTGCCTACCAAAAAAATAATGGGAATCCTGATTGATATGATGATCATATGCTGATCACATGCCAAATAAAAACCATGTACCAAACCCCACCTGGTTGATTGTGGGTACCACCCTCTTCCACCCGCCACTGTGATTCCACAACCATGGAGTAGTCAGGACTTGAAGGCTCCACAGGCGAAGCAGCAGCAGCTCGATGCTCAGAGGACACTGCTGGCGGGGCTGCAGCAGGAGTGACATGAACAACTTCTGAACTGGGCACTTCATTTGAAGCACTAGGAGTAGTAATCGGCTCATGATTGGCAACCTCTTGGTTGGAATTCCCATCCTCATCACCACCATTATGATCACCATGACTAGATGGCCCAGCTTCAGGATCATGCTCATCATCATATGCGTCTTCATCTCCAGCAGGGGCTTCCTCCTGCAAGATGCAGTATAGTAGTTAGTAGTAGTACATTGATTAATGATAATTCTTGATGTCGTTATTTGGCCAATCAGTTTCAAGGGTAAGATGCTGAAACATTGGATCACTCCGGTCCTCCACAAAGCTGCGGCGTGCCGCACGTCGGGCGTTGATCTCATCAGCCACTTCCTATAAGCATAAGTGGGGAAAGTATATCAGCCAGATTCAGCCAGTATACATCAGCATGATTCTTAGTGATGAGACATGCATGGTGATTATGACCAGTCCTGCAGCTCCGGCGCCAACACCAGAACCATGTCCTGGAAATCGGGGTCCTGGGCGAAGGTTTGAATTTGATGCTAGACTGATTACATTTGATTTATGGTTTCATCTAATAAGCAATAAGCTATGGTAAGCAACATGCACTGAATAGTCCAAGATTCCACTGAGACTTCACTCCTACGTACTTTCATCTTGATGAAGCCCAAGTACTTACGGAGCAACCATCCATCATGAGAAACTTGGGGAGGGTTTGTCTGCACCTTGTTTAGCATGTAGATGGCTCTGACAGCTGAGCGAATTTCCTCAACCGGTGGCAGTGGGTGCCCAGGTCTAGCAGCCATCCACTCCAAAACTGGCATGAGGACTGCTTTGTTGGTAACTGTGGATTTGATGTCCGGGTTATCACCAGCCACAAGAGGTTCACCTTTGCGGAAACGATTCCTGATGGTTTGGATAGAATCCCAAATCTCAGCCATTGGGGAGAAGTCATTGCCATCATCCATTGGCTGGGGGTCATAGTCTTGCGCCATGAGCCCCAGTTTGGAAACGCAGGAAATCACAAATTGAGCAAAATGTGCTGCAGTGATGTCAGAAGGATTGGGCAATTCAGCTCAAAGGGAAAACCATGTCGGATTGTTGTGCTTGCTGCTTGCATGCAGGACTGGCAAAAACTATCTTGCTGCTGCATTGGATCCCCAAACCAGGGAGCCGGGCAAAAAAGACGTGCCATGCGCGCTGGGTCAGTGGCCCATGAGCGCCCCGTAAGTGCTCATTTGAACTGATGTTTGTGTTGAATGGCCTGCATGTGCTTAATTGATTGTGGGTGAGCCATGTGACTCATCTTTTTTTCAGAAGAGGGTTTGCCACCAAAAAAATGGAAGGAATTCTAACAGTACAACCCAACAGTCCTTATCATTCTTATCTTCCACCTCATTGATCCACTTGATCCATTGGCCAACAGCCTCGTGAAGAGGAAGGCCCTGGGCGTAGCTGATGCACATGATAGCATCATTCCCCAAAGGTAGTGATGATTGAATAACCGGGTTTTTTATTGAACAGCCGGGGTATTGAATAATGACCCTTAGAGAACCGGGTTATTTGTTGGCACCCGAAGAATTTCAAGGGTGGTGAGGGTCAAGGTATATATATATATATCAACTAGACTAGAGTTATCACTATAAATGCCCATCTTCGATTCGATGATGTTTGCTGACTATATCCCATGTGTGCTGCTTAAATCATCTTAAACCCCCACGAATTTCAGGATGGCTTTGGACGACACCGTGCAGCGCGGTGATTTGGGCGTGGTCGGGTCTGTGTGGGACTGCGAGGCCGGTGAACGCTACGTTCATTTCGCAAACTGGGAAGGGACGATGCCAGAGAGGCAGCTGAACATGTGTACCATGGCCGGGGTGGAGATGTTGCTACCCCGGAAAGTCTTCAAATGTTTAAGTAACCGGGGGAAAAGTCCGAGAAGAAAAGGACGGGCGCCAATTTGATACAACTATAGTTAATTCAACATGTTTTATATCTTCTTTAGTTATAAAGTTAAATCAATAAAGGTATTCACATGTGATACCCTTCGGGCTGGTATGAAGCCAAGGGGTGTCAAAAAAATACCTTTGATGATCCCCTTATAGTGACCGGCGGGGTTGAGGAATTTCCCCACACCTACACCTTCAATTATTCACCAAAACGGCAGCCTAATTATGTCGCTGTACCTACCTTTTAACAAATAGCACTTTCACCCCACTTTAAGTTTTATGATTGCGGGGGGCAGGTATGAATGTAACATTATGTAACCAATTACCTACAGAGGATACATCGTCTGCAGCTCCCTCAGGTAACTTCCAAAAGGGCACGCTGGTCCACTTGAGCAAAGAAGGGCTGCACTCTGCGGTCGGCGAAGTGGTGCTTTGGGATGAGGGAAAGTTGGTGGTAGACGTTCTGGGCGAGAAGGCAGATCGGGGATCATGGCAATCGCCGGTTATTACGGGATCAGAGGGATAGACCTAAGAATCATCCTGAAGTAGATAGAATATAGAATTTTTGCAGATATTACCATTTTGGTGAAGATATTTTGAAATTTTCATGAGATTTTCATTTTATATCTCCAGGATGACCATCGTATGGTATAGTCACAGGGCCTCGCAGTGAACAAAACACCATCGGTATTTTTCCCTGGGTCGAGAAATGCCCAAAACCGGTGAACTTCATGAATTCTTTGTAACAACTTTGTCTGGCATTGAATGCCACCAGACAAGTTTACATGGCAATGTTCGCAACGTATACAGATGTATACAGTATATATGACTTACACGCATGAAATTCACGCTTATTTTTTTTTCTTAAACTTCTGCAGGATTGAAATGAAAACCAGAGTGATTGAGAAATCAGTATCATCAGCTAGACTAACTATCAACAACGACTCCAAGACCATGTGTCTCGAGGAGTGATAACTCGGCAAAAACTGATAGGCACCCCCGGCACGGTGTTTTTTGGGAAGTCTGGGAAAAAGGTTGTTAGATATAGATTCTACTTTGGAATACTTTGGATATTTTGGAGATGTACCCTCTGGTTATGTCAAAATAGCTATTGAAAATTGCCCATTTATCCCATTAAACATGGTGATTTTCCATAGTTTGTTGTATGTTTACCAGAGTGTATCAAACATGAACTGTTCGACATGGGCTTTTCGTAACTCCCCGGCCCATCCAAAACCAGGTCAAAGTGCCGCCCACCCACCTGATCCGCTGTGACTTCCAGAAGCACTCCACAGTCCACGTGTTGCCGGGATTAGACGATGTGGAAATCCACGAACCTTGGGGGAATCTATATACCCGACATGGTAAACGTTTACATAACTATGGAAAGATCCACCTTTAATGGGTAAATCCACGAACTAAATCACCATTTTCAATAGCGAACTGTTAAATTACCAGAGGGTAATTAGGGAAATTATGGGAATATGTATGTATATATATATATGTATGTATATATATATATATGTATATATATATATATATGGGAATATGTGTTTATTTTTTGAGATCCTTTAAAAAAGCTCCAAGGTTGTCAAAGACGGAGGCCAGTGACAAGGTTTATCAGATCGGCGAAGGAGAGGCATGGCAATTTTCCATACATGCTGGCTGGATGTGTCCTGAGGACATTTAACGATCAGCAAGTATATATTTGATTGGTGGTTTGGAACATGTTTAATTTTCCCATATATTGGGAATGTCATCATCCCAACTGACTAATGTCTTTTTGTTTCTCTCAGAGGACTTGAAGCCACCAACCAGATATAACATTGTATTACTACATGGCAGTGGGTTAAAACTATGCACCTTTGGTGAGCACCAATACTTGGTCAATGTTGATCCCCCGCAATTTTAGAATGTCGCTTTTGATTCATCCCCATATAGAGATACCCTCTGGTAAACATACAAAAAACTATGGAAAGATCCACCATTTTATAGCTGGGTAAATCAACTATTTCTATGGCCATTTTCAAGTTCGCAAACTGTAAACACTGTAAACGTTTACCAGATGGTAAATAGAGCAGGTTGAAGATGTTAAGCCAAAATACGTTCATATCTGCACCAAAAAAAAGCCACTTGCGCCAAAGGTGGGGATTCGGACCGTTGATTCCGTGGGGCAAAAAACATTGACCTCACCACTATGGGGTAGGTGGCTGGGGTCTTGGCAATTAGCAATCACCCTCTGGTAAACATACAAAAAACTATGGAACATTAACATGTTTAACGGGAACGTTCACTGTTTCTATTGCCATTTTCTAGCTAGCTATTTTGGCATAACCAGAGGGCAGCAATTCTGCATCCTCAGCTATGTGGCTGTTGGTTTCTAAGCCCTATTGCTATACATCGGAACGTGATTGGGATGCCCAAGATGTCTACTGGGCGGCAGTGGTTGGGGGCACTGGAAGAATCATGACTCTGAATGGACACATACAAAACTGTAGGATATATATATATATATATATATATATGGGTATATCTGATATATCCCTGATCCGGTGGTCACAGGATGTATTGAATCATGCTTAACTCCATGATGCAATGGGTGTCAAGATTCCTCATCCCCCAAAAATAGGAGGGTTCAATAGCCAAAGATCCTGACTTTACGGCATTTGATCTTCATTTCGTCAAATCCCCAGGACTCTATTCACTTGCTGGAGGGCTCCGTGATGGCAAGCTGATCCTGAACACGAACGATGGTTACGACTTTTTCGATCCAGAGCAGTTGGCACTGGCGAAGATCCAGAGGGGTGACTACGTCATCGCCCCCAATGGGCAAACAGGTTAGGAGGGAACGGTGAGCGGAATGCTTCGAAAAAAACGGTCTTCCAACCACGTGAGAGCATTTTTTGGGGATGATTTCATGACAGTTTCACTCATTTACTCATTTGGAATGAATGATATCATTTGGCCGCCAATAAAAAAAGCCGGATTCCAATGGATCCCGTAAGTCCCATAGGGAACACATCAAGTTGCCCCCAAATCTATATAATGTCAACGCCGGATTAAATTGGGAGGAGGAGGTTGATTAATCATGGGATATTGATTAATCCTGACTTGACATTATCTATATCTAAATCTATATCTATATATAGATATTTATTCACATTCGTCACCATCACCATCATCATCATCATCATCATCACAATATCCTCAGTTGACTCTCAGGAATTGCAGGCACAAGTTGGTCTACAACCCCATCTATTTGTGGATCTATTTGCCATCACCCCAACGGTTGGCCTACTTCTTTCAGCCAACTTCGCTAAGGTTTGGAGAGCCCTTCCTTATTAACGGCTCAACAACCCTGGTTAGGCCTCCTAAGTGGCTTATCCCACATAGATGTATTTTTCAAAATGTGGGTTTTAGCTATGGTTAACCTATTGAACACCAACTCAGCTATCGTAAATCAACTTTCTATCACCTAGAAATCCCCTTATTGATCTTCCTCAAATCCCAAATCACTATGAAATCACCATGAAATCACCATGAAATCACCATGAATTCCCTGTTTTTAAACTTTCACCACATTTCACCAGGCTGGGCCCGGGGCATCGATGCCGACCGGCTCCACTTCAGCGTGCAGTTCAAAGGCTTCGCAGAGGCGAGCTTCGCTCCATCGGAGCTGCGGCGCAGCCCCCTGCAGAAGGACACGTTGGTGACGTGGACGCTTCACTATGAGGACGTTCCCAAGGGCACCGTGGCATCAGCAGACTTGTCAGACTTTGTGGTCAAATCATGTAAAGTCATGCATGATGTGGCCAACTAAGCATTGAAGGGGATGATTTTTTTGAGGGTTAGAGTTTACTACTGTGGTTAGGTAAGGCTTTTATGTTGATATGTGAGTCGTGATTGTTTGTGTGTTTGTTTGCCCTCTCGTTGATGATGAATGATATATAATTGATTCATATGGATGGCATAAGCACTTGTCGGCGGCTGATTTCTCCTTTGCCAAAGGATGGTTTGGGGGTTTTCCGCTCCTGCTGATTGTAACTGCCGATTGGGGATGGTGGTAGTTCCTTCCACACATCTATGAGTGTGGATGGTGCATGATTGGACTTACCACATTATGTACATTCTGTAGATGTTCTAGTTTAATCGCGATCCAACCACCCGCCCCCGCCTCTGTTCGTGACCACCCCAAGAACGTGAGGGTCTACGCGAAGGAGAATCTGAACCACGTCACCAACTACTGTACTAATAAGGGTTTATTAACCATTTGCCCACGCTCAAAACCAACTTGCTGATTTTTAGTAGGGGAGAGGCAATATGTGACCTCGCATGAGCCTGCTTAAGCAGCGTAAGCATTGCAGCGCACGGCTGAGATCACCTTTGGAGGGAATCTCTGTGATGGTTTGTTCATCATATTCTTAGCAGTAGCAGGAGGAGGAGGAAGAGGAGTAGGAGGAGGAGGAGTAGTAGTAGTAGTAGTAATATATAGAGCCTATATATACCCCATGCCAGTATGCAAGCAATAGATTGATTGAGTGCTTGAGGTGTTCTCAATGTAGATTGATAGCGCATCTCAATTCCATTCAACCCCTCCAAAGATATTCACTTTTTGCAGGGCACTAAACATCGCAACGCAGCAAGGTACCGTGGGCGAGGTGCAGACTTTGAACATGAAGGATGGAAGGACGGCTGGATTTGCAGAAAAGATACCATTTGGTAATTGAACATAGCTATTGAAAATTGCCATGTATATAAAATATAGATATTTAGAATTGATTTACCTATAAATGCCTATAGCACATGATGGTTTTCCAGTTCGCTGTGTTTACCAGAAGGTATGATCTTTTTGGTGCTGTAAATCGACCATTTGGGATTCTATTGTTGTCTATGAATTCATCCACCAGGATGAGGGTCCGGTTCCCCTAAGGGAACATGGAACTTCCGAGTGTCACAGTTGAGACCTCTGCGCTTTCAACCCGGGGACTATGTGCAGTGGAAGAAGCATGATGAAGATATTCCTGAAGGTGACTGCAGAAATCCCGTGGGATTTAATGATTTTCCCATGAAATATGGATGTGTCCTGCAAATACGTACTTCAACCAATCCATTGAACTATAAATACATAAGTATGTATATATATATATACATATACATATATATATATATATACATATATATATACATATATATATATATACATATATATACATATGTATATATATATATATACATTGGTGGTGACTTGTTGGACAATGACTATCAATGTGATTCAAATGTATGGCAAATCAACAAGTTGAACCATCAATAGATCGGGATACAATGGGATCAGGGGGCATGACGGTTCACTGCCACTTTTGCAAGGTGACATTGGTGAAGTGGTGAGACTCAAGGAGAATGGAAAGATCTACATCCAGTGGCCCAAGTGCTTGTGCAGTTTCTGGCCCAGCAGTTTAAAGTTGCTTCCATTCCAGCGACGGGATCTGGTCCATTGGGCCTCTGCGGATGATGACATCCCCACAGGAAGTATTGGACGAGTGCGGGGCATCAAATATTCCGATGGGGGCTCGCGACTCTATGTGAACTTTCCCAAGGGAGCTTGGGCCTTCTCTCCTGGCTGCTTGGATGCGGAACCGAATGTTTCTGGCTGGTGCCATTCATCCAACAGAAACTTGTAAGATGCAACCGGATGCCAATCCAGCTTTGAAAGTTGACACCAATTTTTAAATTATTTGTGTAAACCTTTGTTGGGCAGTTTCATACCTCAGTATTTTGCCATGGGCCTACCTGCTTAGCTATGACCATGGCTTTAACATACGTCCCAAAAAAGATCGACTTTTTTCCAGGATGTGAGAAAGATGATGTTTCGCCCGGTAACTTCCTGGTTTACTGTTCAACTAATTCGGGGATTACTATAGGCTATTATAGGCTATACATAATATCCCAATTCCAAGTACTGTATACTGTATACATTCTTTATTGCTTAACTCATATCTCAGTTGAACTCATATGATCTCAGTTGAATCCTACTAAACTATTGGTATACCATGAAATCCACTCGAAGTCACCCCAACAGTTACGTTGCACCGTTCATCCTATCCTCCCATCCCCCCATCGCGCTGGACGCTGGTGACTTCCCCAGGTGATTTGACCAGCGCCAATTGGACCACTGCCGGCATTCATCGCCTCAAGGCCTCCTTTGCTCGTTTCGACCAGAACGGCGATGGGAACATCACCCCAGCGGAACTTGCTGAGAGACTTGAAATCTTTTGCTGGCCATGTCCTGTTGGAGAGTATTACCTTGAAACTACTTCCATGGTTTTGGAGAATTAATCATTTGTTTGAAAGTGAAGGGAAAACTAGGAAACTCGCAAACAAATCAATATCCAGCCAGGTTTAGTCATCGTTTCTCATCGTTTTTGCCATTGAACCTGCTAGTTTTGGGTATCCCCATGTTTGGACTGTGTCTAGCTGGCCCATTCTACTGGGAGATCGAAACATCTCGAAACCATTCGTTAACATCTGGAACCAGGTGATTGATCTATTTTGATCTATTTTGTTTGGTTCAAATACTCCCGGGTTGAAGAGCTTTACCATTCTTAAAATCGTCTCGCAAAAGGCGGGCGAACCACATCACAATTTTTATTTTGTGGATTCGTTGAATTTCCTTTTTGAACAACATCTTGCTTAGTAGACTGTGTTTCACGTTGATGGTTTAGTTCACAATTTTTGTACATCCACCAGGGAACCCACTACCCTCTGGTAAACTAACATAACTATGGAAAATCACTATTTTGTAGCTGGGTAAATCCACTGTAAATGGCCATTTTCGATAGCAAACTGTTAGTTTACCAGAGGGTATTTTTATGGATAGCCAAGCGAATCCAAGAATCTTGGTGAGCTTGGGAGTATCCCAAGCCGATTGCCAGCAGATGTTCGATGCCTTGGACAAGGACACCGAGCGCGTGTGAGCTGGTGAGCCCCAAGAATGGCTTGATACCACCAGGGAGAACGTATGTGCTAAATTGTGCTAATACTTTAACTGGTTGGTGGTTTGGAACATTTTTTATTTTTCTGAATAATCATCCCAAGTGACCAATATTTTTCAGAGGGGTAGGTCAACCACCAACCAGTTAAGCATGAAACCGTAAGAAAACTGTTTTTTTTGTCGGAAGAAAACAAAGACAGGACGAGAATGGCTCTCTTTCGGTGGAGGAGTTTGTGGACTATGTCTTTCAGGATGCAGATCGGGAGATCACCGATGGCTTCCGCGAGCACGTTGGGCTTGAAAAGCCTGGAACAAGTTGAAAAGTGCTCGCGTTTTCTTGGGCGTCTCTGCATTTTGCAAGATGTCGTTCTGAGATGCCACGTTTACATCTACATACCCTGTTTACGGCTGCAATTCTGATCAATTCTTCAGATTGAATGCCAAACAGTTTCACCGGCTGATCCAACTGAAATTGAATTTAAATGCCCTCGCCATCGAAGAAAAAGGTCAGAAGCCGGTTGCCGGGACGTCCCTTTAGGACTAAAGAGCTTGCGGAGAGTCGCATCAACGGTGCATTACCTCCCAACTGACATGGTCTCATAGACCCTGCTAAAAAGGAAAGAAGGAAGTTGGAATATTAGGTTCCAATAACAAGTTGTTTTGTTTGGTGATCGGAGGGTAACCACTATGAGAGTGTCATGATAATCAGTCAACAAGAACAGGGATTAGATTCAGAATAGATGAAGGGCATGTCAACTATCTCAAATTTGACTTGCATATTCAGGAACAATGAACAACTTCATCCAAGTAGGAGCAGTGTGTTTATTGTTTCCCCAGGTAGCTGTGCAGCTCCAGCCTTTTACTACAATCAAACCTAGAGAATGGAACATCCCCAATGAAGGTGGGGCTCCCAAACCCTAGCAGCCCTAGCAAAGTTGGTTGATAATTTATTGGGTTCTAGGATTTATGGGCGATATTTTTCGGACATTTTTTCGGGTGGCAGGTGATTTCTGAATGGAAAGTGTTGATACCAACAGCTTTTTGTTCGGCTTAAAAAAATGTTGGATTCATATGGATTCATCGAAGGTGGCGGGCTGGTAATCCCATAATTCATCAACTGCTTGGTGGTGACTGGAACATGGCGAATAGTCATGACTTTCCATTGGGAATGGAATCATCATCCCAACTGGGCTCTCACTCCATCATTTTTCAGAGGGGTCAACCACCAACCAGTATATATATATGATTATATATGATTATATGTATATCATATAAAACCCTCATTTATATTTCATGTATACCGTATACCGGATTTTCCAGCTAGCCACGTTTGATGACCAACTAAAATCCCCGTAAAATCCATCAAGTTTACCCTCAATCATCCCACCATGCTGGATTGAGGTGGTCTTCTTTGCCAACCTGGAGGGCTGGACCTGGGATCAATCGCTGTACTTCGGCATGGTGACGATGTCTACTGTGGGCCACTTGGTGGTGTGGTCCTGACGGGCAAAGGCGGTGCCCCAATTCTGAAAAACTGGGAATCCTCTATTAATGGAGGCGGAAAAGGGGAAACAAGAATAACTTGGGGCATTTCAAGTTCCACAGCTAAGTTGGTTTATGTTGGTTTATAACATTTTATAACTCATATAACTGGGCTTTGTATGGGTTCATGATGATTATCTCTGTAAGTATAACTAAAACTGTAACTATGACTAGACCGGGGGCACCAACTCATTTAGGGGGACCCACCCTGAACTGAATAGATAGGAGAGCAATAGACAAATTAGATGGTTTGTCATGACCTTTCCGATGAAACCATTGTAGATGCAGTTTTTTTTTGGGGGCTATACGGTAACAATTTTCAATCAAGTCCACATTTTAGATTCAGATATTTGGGATGATCCCAACTGAGAAGTATTTTTCGGATGAGTTGAAACTACCAGAGGGTGTGGTCAAGCTGGTATCATGTTGAACCTGAAAATTGGTTCCGAAATAGCTGGAAACACAGATTTATTCAAGTTATTCCTTTGGTCGCCATCTATTCCACATAGCTCATAGCTCAGGTGTTCTTTTCTCACCGACCCAATGATAGATCTGAACAGTTCAGCCATGGCCTATCTGAGGCTATGGCGATCTCTACCCCACACATTGGTACTCGCAGTTGGTGGGCATTCTCTTTATCCTGGTGACCCGGCGACCTGCTCGACAGGTCTCTGAGATTCTGGCTGAAGCGGAGCGATTACTGACCAACGACGAATGGATAAGTAAAATTAGGTAAATGAGAAAAATTACCAACGAAAGTAACGGGAGCATATGGACCATCGTAAAGTGCGATTTTACTTTGGAGAAACGACTGGGATTCAACCAGCAAACAATTGATATAGGAGTTGATTCACTGGCGAATCTCCCACAATCAGCCAAACATGCGTTGTTTTTGAGCAGCCGAACATGGCCAAACGTGATGCGGCATGAGTCGTGTCAGAGATGATTGTTCGGGAAGGTAAAGTGGTTTGCCACTTGAGTAATCTAGTGTTCATCACTAATGCTGGATGGTTCGAAGGTAACTTCAAACGACGTTCTGTTCCATTTTGAAAATAGCTGGTTTGTGGTTTCAATCATTTTTGATTTTCCATAATATATGGGATAATCCTTCCCATTGACTTTCATATTTTGCACCACCAACCATATAGCATGATGATCGACTGATCGACACGTCGGAACTTTCGGATCGGGAGTCAATGGTAAACTTTCCGGAAAGCTTGGGGTATCTGGGGATAGTAAAGGTAGAACTAAAGATATATACGTTATATCATATATATCATAAATGCACAAAATTCAAATATATACATATACAATATACAATATACACACATATTTATATATATATATTATCCACACATATGTTAACTAGCTAAAGGATTAGCTTTTTTTGGGGATCAAACATGGGTTCCATGAGACCCAGTTCCATGGTGCGATCAGGTGGGTATTGTTGTGGTCTTTGGCCAAATCATCGATTTGGTGAACTTGGTTGCCCGGCGGGGCATGTTCGGTCATGGCATGGGGTTAAAGTGAGCTACTCAGCACATGAATTGCTTCATTAAATTACATATAATATATTGTACTATATTGTAATGTATTATATTGTATTTTACGTTATTATATTTTATTATATTGTATTATATTATGTTATATTGTCTTAATATATCCCTAACATGGCTGTGCAAAAAATCCTAATGATAAGACATTTGCACCATGGCCTCTCTCTCTCTCTCTCTCTATGGCTTCCATTCGATATTTCCACATGCTCCGTGGATGGCACAGTGACGGACGACGTATGGTGGTTGTGGCTAGTTAAACGTAGCATACCCTCTGGTAAACTAACGTAGCTATTGAAAATGGCCATAGAAATAGTAGATTTCCCATGAAACATGGTGATTTTCCATAGTTATGTTAGTTAAACGTAGCATACATGTTTCGCATATGAGATGTTGATCCAAGTGATCATTGCAGTGAATAGACTTTTTAAGATGCATACTTTTCAGGATTTTAAAGACCTTTAACAGTTTCAAGTCAACTGCTCAACTGGTGGGTCAAAAAATGTAATTTTCGATGGACAAGATGATCAACCAGTGGATTTAGGACTGACTGAACATAGCTATTGAAAATAACCATAAATCATGGTGATGTTTCATTAATCCATTAGTTATGTTACTAAAAATAGTTATAGTTATTGAAAATGACCATTTATAGTTCGAATTCACCAATTCAGCTATGGTGATTTCCCAGAGCTATTTGTTTCTTTTGGTTACCGGTATGCCCCTGAGGTCATCGTGCCCCTCTTCCAGAAGTCCCGAGATCTTGTGGAGCGCTTGATGCCGGCGCATTATGTGCCCCGCTTTTTTCTCGGTGGAGCCGAAGGGCGGAGCGATGTCGGGGAAGCAAGGGATAGAATCCACGTGGGTATGGGAAGTTTGGTGCATATCATTGTTTTCTATATATATTTGTTGATCAAATTTATTATACATATATATATATGTGTTAATTCCACATATATATATTGTGTTTTATTAGATATAAATATATATATATATACACTACACTATATATTTTAATATATAACATAAATTATACTATATATATATATATATTTGTATTGGTTTGGACAATGTATATCGGAGTGTCATTTAGGAAGAAATTTCATGCTAGATCTTTGAGAAGTGATTTGCAGAAATGGTAATTGTTCAGCAACAGATCCAGTGATGCAACTTTTTTATTGGAAGGGGTGATTCGCAAGTAGGTTCCGCTGGAGCAATTTTCGGAACAGTACGAAATGATGGTTGGATTCTGGAATGATGGTTGGATTGGATTGGGCGTTTGAAATCTTTTGGCTATCTTAAGATAGCTACCCATTTCAGGACGGTGAGTGATTTATATAGTAAAATTTATACCATTTCAGACCATTAATTATTATATTCATATCACCATGTATGGTTGGGCATCCATAAACCATCCATTTTCCATGCTAAATCCGTTCGCAATTTTGATCTGAGGTGGACATTACAGGAGATGGCTGCTCAGCTTTGGTCGATGGCTGGATCTGCGGGCTGTTTAAAACAGCATATGAAGTGCTGCAGTTCAATCATATCCATGCATCATTGTGGAAACGAAGGCAGTTCATTCATATCAGTGACAACCAATTGATGTGATTGTGAGAAGTCAACATTGATCAACATTTGTATCTTCTGAGGTTGGTTGTTTTGAGTTTGTTTGATTTCTTGGCCATTGTGGCGAGTTTCTTTTTGACGTGGAAGTTGTGACAGACCCACCTTTGTCTGATTTTCAGATTGTTTGATTCACGTGGTCCGACTGTGAAAATCGTATTGGTAAGATGGCTTTGAGTGCTTTTGCAACATGCTCTATTGTATGGCATATGTTTTCAGAGTACAACACGTTTTTGTCTGAAACAGTACCGAGCAACGGAGCATCCCTTTCTAGCCCTTTCCGCGCGCAGGTTCTGAAACCAATTTTTGGGTCAGTATCCCACCAAAAATCGGGATGAGCGATAACCGTGGTGATACAATATCCCATACGCTCCATGGTGCTGGTATATTTACGCGTATATTTACCTACATTTGCCCTAAAAATCAGCCAGTCATGTAGGTAAATATACCATACATGGAGCATATGGATATCATGGACTATTTGGTCATATACACACAGTCCTGCGAATATTCGCCAAGAAATGTCTAGCAATGTGGGAACACAATCACACAATCCAGTGCAAATATCTGTTTGTAACCAGCAGAACTACACAAACCTCGGGAAATCATGGTAGGGATATTTGAGTTCATGAATCCGCTAAGGGTGGACAACCATTGTTTATAGCGATGATCTCCAAAAAGTGTAAGATATCATGCAAGGAAAAAACACATCGAACAAATAACAAATATATAAAGCATTTTAGCATCTTATTATATCATATTAAATCGATATCTAAATCTATATATATATACATGCATATATATATATATATCATTTGAAAATGTGTCCGGTAAGCAGCAAGCATGTCCATTGGCCACCTACATGTAGTACATTCCTCCGGTTTTTTCCGTATCCGAGGCACTCCAGACTTCAAAGTCCCTCGTAGACGGCCCATCTTCTATGGCAAGGGCTTGTGCCTCGAAACGGGCAGGTTAAAGGAGGGGTTTACCCTCGGGTAATGACTAACAGTTTGCTACTGAACATGGCCCAGTCGAAATAGTTGATTTATCTTTGACAAGTGGAGATTTTCCAGTTCGCTATGTTAGTTTACCAGAGGGTACCCAGTCATACTTAGTCTTTCTAATGCAAAGAGCATCAAGGAGCAGCAGAAACTTGCCTTCACGACGAATGGGTGCTTCAGCCAGGGTAACCTGAGACATCAAACAGATGTCAATGACGTGTGCTCAACATATGGATATCCATGCATTGAGGAATGGTCATAACATGTAATAACATGGCTTATTCCCAAAATAAAGAATACCGGGGTTTGATGAGGAGAGACGACAACTGCCAGCAAGTCGCTAGAAATTATGCTTAGTGGAGCCACCCAAACATGACCTTATTCCAGATGTGTGATTTGTAAATTTCATATCATGTGGCAAATCATTATTCTAGATTGGTGTGTTTGTTTAACAAATCAGCCACATATTATGAACTATTATGATGTGCCCCTATTATTGGAAATACATTTGGATTGGAATCAGTTGCTGCCCTCCTTTGTAAACCAACACTTCGATGTGGTTTTCCCCACCATTTGTCGATCATTTTTCTAGGGTTTCCCAGGGCCGGGCCCATTTTGATGTTGCTGCTCTTCCAGGCGCTTGAAAAATGGCCCACGATGAGACAGTGGCTGTGTAGAATGTAGGGAAAACCAAACAGGAATTGATGGTTTATCATCATATCTCCCCGAAATATATATATATTTACATATATATATATATACATGCATACACATATGAATACATATATATATATGCATATCTTAAAATTGCCATTTGGGGTACGTACAGCCAATTTTCAGACAAACCAATGTGGGTAATGTGGACATGCAACTGGTGAGCTCATAAAGGTACAAATGGGTGATATGCGAATCTTGTTGGCAGGTTGGATAGTTGAATAAGAAGCTGTTTCTACGCATTGGTGAGTACCATGCCACGCCGAAAAATTGACTTTATTGCAGGGTCTCTGATATTTGAATGTTTATGGAAGGCCATGATGTTCGGAGAAGCATACTTTACCATTCGTGATAGACATGGAGGACAGACATTCAAATACCATTAAGGAACCCATATCTATATCATTATGTTTGTTACATCCAAATTATATTGTCATGTGCTCAATTTATATCTTATTGTAGGTCGCTGTTTGTCAGATTATATGACATACGCGTGTATATATATATATATATATTTATGTATGTATATATATATATATATATGCATATACATGTGTGTTCTCTTGAGTCACCATAAAATCGCATTAAATCAGCATGAAATCACCATTAGATCCCTCAAATCAACATTAAATCCCCTTAAGTCACGATGAATCGCCATGCAATCACCATCAAATCACCATAACAAAATCACCAAAGGGTCACCCATTATAGAGTCTACTAGAGAGATATGATAGCCAGAAATTGATCATTATATCAATGGGAGATCTTCAGGATCCTAAAATGGAGGTACGTTAGTACCATATTTTTGACCATATTTTGTGGGGATATTCCCTGAAATTTAGGCTTAAAACATAGGCCTTATATATGGTAGGTACCTCCAATCAATCGGTTTTTGAAATGGCCACTGATTATACCTCTAGATTTACCAAGTTTTCTTTTTGTACCATCAAAGCATCATTAAATCATCATTAAAGCCCCTTAAGCCACCACCCTTAAATCACCATCAAACCACCTTAAGTCACCATGAGATCCCCTTAAATCAACATTAAGTCTCCTTAAACCACCATAAAATCGCCATGACAACCCGCCATGGCAATGGTGCCGCCACAGTTCATCTCGGCCGCCATCTTCACGGCGGTGGAGCCAGAGTGGGACCTTTGGAGCGCCTGGTGGTACGTCATGGTGACGGCCAGCACGGTGGGATACGGCGACCAGAGCGTGAACAAAGAGACGCTGAGATATACCGAGATGATCGTAGGTGTTTTTTGGGTCAGGGATGGTTTATGGAGGATTTGTGTAGGGATTACCCTCTGGTTATGACTAACATAGCCATGGTTTGTTGATGGCCCATTTATAGATGACTTTCCCAGCTAGAAACCTCCATTTATAAGGGATTTTCCATGGCTATGTTAAATAACCAGATGGTATAGTGCGATTATTGTAGGTACCATAAGTTCATGTGGATAAAACAATCATCACCCCCATAAATTATGGATTTATACGGATTTATCTGGATTAATGTTGGTAAAAGAATGTCATAAACAACCCGCCTGGGAATGGTAAACATACCACTTTTAAAAATGGTGATCTGGGGGATGGTTTATTATTACTTTACCCACATTAATAATGGTCCGTATACTATTTATATGTTTAGGGAAGACGGTTAAGGGGATGAGGGAACATATTGGGACATGTGTTTTTTTGAAGAGTATGAGGGAATAGTGGGAAATCCTCAAAGTAAATGGGACATGCTCAGGAAACATCTGAGGAAAATATTAGGGAAATCCTCGAACGAATTGTTAAGGGATTAGTTAAGGGATGTTAAAGGATATAACAAATTGATGGATGTACCTTTTGGTTGTTTAATATAATGATATAGCTATGGACACACATGAACAATCGCATGTTTCTATTTGTAAAACACCCAATTGATGGACAATGTTCCATAGCTGTGCTAAATTATCAGAGGGTATTAGATATGCAGTTAGTCATTTGATTTTTGATTCTAAATATTAGACACACCAAAAATCATTTGATTTGGGAAGGGTCTGGGGATGCTTTGGGATGGCTATAGGAAACCATGTTTTTAAACGGTAAAACTGTAGTTGTTTTTTTTATCTAAATCTACAGTAATTTTCCCATCATTCAATTCTAACATGGTTTCGATTTCACGTTCAATTGCACCAAAATTGTCATGTGACAAACCAATGAAACCATGACGGAGACAAAGATGTGTTTGATTCGCTGCTTTCCCAGCAGAAACTCCTCGCGTTTGCGAGGAACACGGGCGCATTGATCTGGGCTTCAATACATATCCTCCTCTCTGTCGGCTTGTTGCTTGGAGAGTGGGAGCCATGTCTTTTTCAGGAGGGGAGTTGAAAAAGTCGCATGGGTGTCTCTGAAAATGGAGTTATAACTATAACTATAACTATTCCACATTTACGATTATTTAATGAGAAATTTGATGATAGCAACGCTCTATGGATTACATACACTTTGATTTTTTAGTGTTTTTTTGGGTATACAGATGGATTTACATGGAATTACCACATAACCCACTGAAACTTAAACATAACCCACTGAAACTTAAACTTGTAGCAGAGATTAATCCACAAAATATCCCCAGTCTATCCCTATGGACTGGGTTTGCCATAAACCAGCCAGGATATCGCCCAATGACTGTTTCCTCCAGTAAACCTCCAGTAAGCCACCATTATTAACTTTTATTAACCCCCAACCAGTTAATTAACCAGAGGGTATGTTTACCAGACCAACCAGTTATGGCTAAAATTCCCATGATGGTTAACCATAACCACCATTATTAACCAGCGACATCCTTATGTTTCATGATCCACTGCCATTTCGGTGGGTTGAATCCACCCCAAACTGCCCGGCTATGCCAGAGGTTGGCCGCGATCATCGGAGACCTGGAGGTCTTGTCCGAAGAACGACAAGGTCTGCTGGATCATGGGGAACTGGGAAGCCCTTGTTGGATATATTATTAATAAAGACCAAATTGGATCAATATCTATAATTATAATCTGATGGGGAAACCCATTTTGGATCAATAATTGGATATATAGTTTAATTTAACTTGAATTATTTATTTTAAAAAAAATGGGGGAGATCATATTAAATTATTGATGATCCCTATTTAGACCAATTGGAGAGTTAGTATAAAGCCCCATTTAATCATATTATTGTATCTAAATGGGGCTATATACTAATCTGATTGGCTGAGCGTTCATGAATCATTGGGAAATCAACTCAGATCCGGGAAAACCGGTAGTTGAGACTTACAAGACTTACATAAGTTTAAACCAATGTGAGCAATTTTTAATATGATTGCTGCACCATGGCATGTATTGGATTCTCAGCTCACTTTTCTTTAAGGGTACAATGTGGTGCCCCTCAGTTATGTTTGTTGGTTTATAAGCCCCATGAATACTATAGTTATACTTAGTATCTACCATAAACCATAGTGAAATTGGAGTTATAAACCATTATAAACCAACTTATCTAACGAACTGGGGCACCACCAACCGTATCTATGTTTGGCCATGGGGCATCAATTCGGAAAAGGCTCTTGTTCTGCGAGAGATGTGATTTCTCCAACTCCGAGGGTTGATAGGTACCTCCCAGAAACCTTAATGAAAGGGGTTGGCAAAACAGTAAGATGTTCTTATGGAGTGTACCCTCTGGTAATATGAAAAAAATATGGAAAATCACAATTTTTCGTGGGAAAACTCACTATTTCGACTGGGCCATGTGGTGCCCCCCAAGTGATGTTTGTTGGTTTATAATCCCATGAAAACTATCGATATATCACCAACAAAAACCATAGTGAAATTGGAGTTATGTTCACCAACTTAGCTATCGAACGGGGGCAGCACCTTGTACCCTCTGGTAAACTATTAAAAAACTATGGAAAATCACCATTTTTCATTGGAAAACTCACTATTTCTATGGCCATTTTCAATAGCTACTTTGACATAACCAGAGGGTAAGTTTCACTCCTACAAATCGCTGGAAGTTCACCCTGAATCAACACGTCTAAACAGACAGGACATCGACTGAGCAAGGGTGTTTTGCGATGTTGACCACGTGAAAAGCCCCCTGGCGAAACATCTGGTGCCAACACCATGGGTTTGGCTATGTTTCGCTGAAAAAAAGTGAGATACCCCTCATTCCGAATGATTAAGACATATCAAAGCATCATGTTCGCCGTTTTCACCCAATGAATTTGCGACAAATTGGTGTAGACCCGGATGCTGGACCGTTGATGGTCCATACATTGTCCAACGCTTTTAGCCGAGGGACAACTAGTGGTTGGCAATGGGGCATTGTGCCCGAACATGACTGCAATCTAGTCGTGTCCAACAGGCATACCTGCCCCAGAAGCTGGGAAAATAAATTTGTGCTCATGCCATGTCCATGTTTTTCCAATAATAAAGGAAAAATAGTTAATAGACGTTAATAGATAGTATTGTTTACATTGTTTAAAGAGAGGTTTTCCCTGAATTCCAATGGAAAAATGATGATTTTCTCCAGCATTTAGATCTATTTCGATGGTCCTATAGTGCATGGCGGTGGAATGTACCCATTTTCAGACGCACCAAAAGATTCTGGGAGGTTTAGGCAGGGAGGTTTTCAACCACCGTTTTAGCATTCAAAAGTATCCAGAGAATCTATGACAAAAAGACAAAGTGAAAACAAACCCATATGATCCATGTATGGTATATTTACCTACATTTGGGTGAGTTTTAGGGCAAATGTTGGTAAATATTCCATACATGGAGCATTTGGGAAACAGCAACACATGGCAAATACATTGAGACACTATGTTCGATATTTTGTTGGGAAGGCATGTCATGATAGTGGGTCTGGGTATACATCCAACATGCTGTTGAATATGATTGAATATGACCCTTCTGGACTTCGGTGTTGATATTCCTGTTGATCTGCCACTCCGTTCGCCAGAACTCCTGAAGCAAGCGGCGTGCTTTGAGAAATGTTTCCAGAAAGAGACCCTGCAGTCATTGGATGCTTGGCCGGCGGTTTTCCACAATCAGCAGCATGCTAGGGAAGCTGACTCGACATGGCACGCTGATGGCCACATGATTAGGGTGAAGGTATGTGAAGGTTGCATTACTGGGTGCCACCTACTTACAACTTACAAAGGTGAGTTCCCCTGCTAAGTTGACTTATAATTTGGTTAACCAAGGTTTTTGTGGGAATAACCATAGTCTATAGTTCATGGCTGCATTTTTTTCCATGGCACGCGCTGCTTACACCTGATGGAAACTCTACTTGGAAAGTGGTTCATCCACGCTGACCAGGCTTCGAATGTTGGATAAAGATGGCAACCTGCGGCGCTACGGTATGTATATATTTCTTTCGGCATGGACGATGCTGTAAACATCACAGGTACCCCACGGAAAAAAACAATCCTGCAATATTTATCTTCTACCCATTGCTTCGAATTCCGACCGCAATAGCTTCCATGGACGAGGGAAATGTCTATTCGCGGGATGTGTATGGAACATCAGCATCGATGCTGCAAAAGTCACTCCTAGAATGTGACAACTTTGAGTGGTGAGGAAAAAACAAGTCTATAGTTCATGAAGTTCATGGGGTGTATAATCCAGCTCATAACTGGGGAGCATCGCCTTATAGATTTTATTCCAACCAACTACAGTTTTGCAGTTACAGTTACATAGTTAGTTGCAGCATCATGTGCCCGCCAGTGCAACAGAAAGTGACCAGTTATTAGTTGGTTTATAATGGTTTAAAATCCCATCTAACTAGTTTGATATATCTACCAGGACCCCTTGTTAGCATACTTACAAATGACCTTGGCTAAAGGGGGAGGGACCCTACCTCCAGTTCTATATTTAGTTGCTGCACCATCAAATATTGGCAGAGTCCATGCAATCACCTGATCCAGTGGTTAGTGTTTATGCACCTTTTTGAGCCAAACTGATGTCCTGAGTTTCATTGGGGCAAGCCATAGCAGACAAGCATTTTTTGTGGTCGCGATTTAGGGCCCTAGGGCCGTACTTTTTAGGGTCCTGCTCACGATTACTCACGATTAAGGATGCTAGATAAATAGCAATGTTCCTTTGAGGTCCGGGACCTCAAAAGGTACATTGAAAGGGTGCTTATAGCAATGTTCCTTTTGAGGTCCGGGACCTCAAAAGGTACATCATGATGTGTCAGACATGGACGTACTTTTTTCTCGTCCACTTTCTACTGAGATTCATGAGGACAGACTTTTTGAGTCTTTGGACTTCCAGTGTAAATTGCTTACCCTTTGGTTA